CAGCTGATCGGCTCAGCGCGGCAGCCATGTAAATTTAAATGAAGCGGCGATTATTTAAATCACCGCTTCATTTTCCTATGCCGGGTAGCCTCATCTATATGCCTCTGTTGTCAGAGGCATGTAGTCTAGACGTAGCCTGAGAGATAATTTCATTTCTTTTGAAAGAACTGAATACAACTACACAAAATAAACACACCTATAAATGTAATAAACACAAGGTATGATTCTACCCTGAAAGTGACTGAAAAACACGTTACGGTGTTCTGGATGGTATCTTGATTTATAAGAAAACAAATTTTTTTTATCAGTTCTCCACATTTATCCTAATCTGAAAGTCAAACTAAGTTTTTCTTTTCTGGTAATCATCAGTGGTAACAAAGATATTGTAAACTAGCAGCACAAGTGAGAAGAGGCTAGGCTGATGGGATATCCCTAAATATAACCTAATTTTTTTTTAAACACTATTTGGCTTGTAGGTTTACTCATCTAACTAGTAACTGTCAATGCCGGACACATTTTTCAAGACTGGAGTGTTTTGCAGAGCATGTGTCATTCACTACAATACTCACATCAATGAGATTTTTAGCCTTGAAAAGGTCACCAATTTCATACATGATAATGTCATCTTTAGTCCTTCCAAGTCCATCAAAATGTACATGTTGAACCACCACCTAAAGGTAAGAGGAGTTAACAACATTAAAACCACCTAAATATAAAATAATATTATAATCTGACCGAAGGTACAGGATTTATTTGAGATTTACTATTAATTTATAGTAACAGGGACCAACAAAGCATCAATCCATGATTGTAGTTAACTCTTGTTAATGGAAATAATAATATCAAAAAGCAAGTATCCTAACTCCAAACTGAGAGCAGACTACAGGAAAGGTCCATAGCTACTAGAATTTTAGTCACAGATCCTTATGAACAAATAAGTCACTGGCTAAAATCATATAACAATTCTGAACACGTAAGACCTGAAACTTGCAGTTCTCAGAGTACTTCCTTTACCATTTACACATAAGCAAAGAACTTAAATACAGAGTCCAAAATAAGTCTCAAATTAAATGGTGATGGAATGCTTCATATTATAAACCAAAACACAAAAAATGTCTATACATCTACAAGATACCAAAGGACTTTTTTAAAAAACTCAAAGTCTTTGTCTATATATCAGAGTATAGAATTTCTAAATTCTGGTTCTAATGCACTATTAAATTTGCCTTATTTTCAGTGAAAATATGCCTTTTCAGTATACAAACCTAGGATTATTACTCTCTGCAGGAAAAAAAAAGCCCCCAAATGATTATATGCTCCTTTTTCTAAAGAAACAGAAGATAATAGCACCTACCGTCACTGAAAACATGACAATAATAAACTGATATGCATGTATAGTGGAATTAACACTTTTTTTATTAAGGAAAAAGATTTCATTACCAAGCTTCTACTGAGAGTGACTATGAACAAAATCAAGCAAGGGAAACATCTTTAAAAAGGAAAGCATATGAGATGTCTCTTCTTTGTCCTGTTGCTAAATATATTGAATGTAGTTAACAGCTCTCGTAGGAAAAACAAGGTTGGTAAAAATTACCTTTTATTTTAATTGAATGTTATTTAAATCTGTCATTTAAAAAAATAAGCAGCATTTTTCTTATTATGCCTCTCTGTCATTTATCATCACTGGTGGAAATATTTCTGGTTGGTTTGTGTGTGTACAGTGAAATTGATGTTCAATAATAAACCAATAAAAAACCTCAACCCCTTAATTTAATATAATCCACTGAAATAATTTAAAATGCTAAAATAATGTATTGATGAACTTAATCAACTTCTGACCATAGTAGCCTCTTCTGCTGGTCCACAGAATAGTTCATTTGAATGACTAGTTCATTCAAAAAATAAGAAACCAATTGGTAACTGAAAAAGGAGGAAAGCTTGTTTTCCTCTTCTAATCCATGAATAAAGCTAGGTATGAGGGGGATGAAATCTACTACAGTAGTTCCAAAAACTTGAAGAAAAGGGTGGCCAAACACAATCACTTCAATTCACTAACTACAGATAATTAAGGCCATGATTTAGTCACAGAGATCACAGAAATCATGACTTCCAGCAACCTTCATGACTTCAGCCTGCAGTGGTTAGAGGTGCAGGGTACCCCGGCTGTCTATAGAGGGCCCTGAAGCTCCAAGCTGCTGCAGCCTCCAAAGGAGCAGCATAAAGCTCCTAGCCCCCGTGCAGGCGGACCCCCAGAGCTGAAGGTGGCAGTGGTATCATGCAGTCCCCAACTGCTGCAGGCAAACATGAGGCCCCACAGCTACCAGCTGTTCAAAGTGGAGGCGCACCAGCTCTGGGGATCACCAGAACTCCTCGCTGCTGTGCAGGTGCTCCACAGTAGGTAGCGTGGGGACACTCAGATATTTTTAGTAAAAGTCATAGATGGGTCATATCTTCTGTGAATTTTTCTTTATTGCCCATGACTTGTCTCTGACCTTGACTAAAATCATCTGACAAAATCTTAGTCTTACTGATATTTTGTTTAATACATCAATTTAAAACGCAATATGTGTTTTGCTAAATTTAGAACAATTTCTTATGTATCCCACATATGTTTGTGCATTTAATTGAATTTCTATCTAAATATACCTTGACACAAATCACAAGTAAAAAATTATCTAAATGCATAAGTCACTATTTTTAAAATAAAATGTAAAAATTAAGAATCTGAATAAATCTAACTTACTACAATTACATAACTTATCTCCTGATCAGCTCAAAGCAACACCAAATTTAGTATGAGAGTTGTATTTAGTTGCAATTCAACATTTTTTAATGGTTACCAACCTCTAAGAATTAACTTTTGATTAGGAAAAAAACTAAAAAGTAAAATGCAAAACATTAAAATCAATTATTTAAAATCACTTTAATTAGTAATTGCTAATTTTAATCATGATAAAAATTATTTTGATTGAACTCAATCCACTGTAATGAATCTCAAAGGAAACCAGACATTACTGGGTTGGTTTTATTCTTTTGTTCCACACATATTAGTTTGGGATATTTCCTACAAATAAAGTAGTAAATAAACATTCAGACCCATTGTTTAGGGACTTACATTTTTGTTTTCAAGGACTTCCTGCTTGGCTTCAGGTTCAACTTCAACTAGTTCTGGTTCATCTCCTAAAGCACCAAAATCAGACCCACTCACTGGAAGAGGCTCCAGACTCTGAATAAAATAAATAAATAGAAATAAGATTACTTTGTGCATATAACACATTAAACATTTTGTTCCACTTTTCTAGTGAAGAAAGTTCTCGACATTCTGCCCATAATATTATGATGAATGACAATACCAACAACAGAAGAGAGAAAATACTGGGAATTACATTTATGCATTTGTACAGTATATGTTTGCTGAAAATTTTACTATATACTGAATAATCTGTTTTCTTTAATAAGACAGGATATAAAGTAAAGTCTAGAAAGTACAGTACAGTTTTGCAGGAGAACAAGTTTCCTTCCTTCCTTCGTAAAATTTCAAGTATTTAACTTTTCTGATGTGGCCTGCCTGTGCATGCCAGCAAACGGTGCCACAGAGGCACTACTCCAGGGGCCACCACAGTCAACTCTACAGATACCACTGGGATAAAAGCTTTCCAGAGACTGAATGTACACATTCACATGTATTGGAATGCACATGAGCAATCATTCAAAGAAACAACACAGGTATCTGTTACTTTATTGTGTGGCTGAAATCTTTCTAGATTTGTGAACAGAAGTTTTCTTTCCATCATCTGTCCTCCAAACATCATTCTAAGAACATAACTCGCTCATGTTGGGAGTCTGCTGTCTAGATGAGAAGAGTCAGTTCAGTTTTCCAACTAAAATGGGTTAGTTTGTTATAACTTACAGGATTATGAAATAAGAACACTGAAAACTTCACACCACCACGGAGTAGCCTCTTAATGTTACTGTTGAGATCAGACTTCTACTGTAACAATCTTAATGGCAAAGTCACCAGCAGAGTATACGCTGCATCACTTCTGGGAAAAGCTATTCTTTTGCAACATAAGAAATGCCTTACTACACTAGAGCCAAGAGCCAACTAGTTCAGTATCTTGTCTCTAAAGACAAATATTAGGGGAATCAGAGGAAAGTTTCCACTTCCCAGTTTCAGGTTACAGAAAGCTGGATGGTCCTTTGAAAACAGTAGCAGCCACAACCAAAAGGTGTCTGACAGTCAACCAGAGGCACTTGAGTGAGAGTTAACCCCTTCCTGAGGAAATCAGTGTGGAGAGTAAAATCAGCCCTCGGGCGCCCTTGCACCAAAACAGTCTCTACCTCTTCCTAGCGCAGCCAAATGTCGCCAGTGCCGCAAGAGGCCCTGCCCCGCAGCGCGGGTGCCGCTGAAACACCCCGTCCCCACCCCCGCGGGTTCGCGTCCCGTCCGCAGCCCCGCGCAGGGCGAGCGGGG